ATGGGGCTCCCCTTGAAGAGCACCCGGAGGCTCCAACTGGTCCAGAATGCGGCCGTGCGGGTAATCATGGGAGCCGCCTGGCGCTCCCACGTAACACCGCTCCTGCGCGAGCTGCACTGGCTCCCAGTGGTCTTCCGGGTGCGCTTCAAGGTGTTGGTTACCACCTTTAAAGCGCTCCATGGCATAGGACCTAGTTATCTTCGAGACCGCCTGCTGCTACCGACAACCTCCCATCGACCCATGCGCTCCCACAGAGAGGGCCTCCTTGGGGTGCCATCAGCCAAACAATGTAGGCTGGCGACCCCCAGGGGGAGGGCCTTCTCTGTGGGGGCACCTACCCTATGGAACCAGCTGCCCCCTGAGATAAGGAGAATCCAAGACCTCGGTGCCTTCCGCCATGCCCTTAAAACTTTCTTTTTTCATCAAGCCGGGCTGGCTTAACATATTTTTAAATTTTTTATTTTTAATTGGTTTGTCATTTTAAACTGGAGCCAAATTAATATATTTTCTTTTAATTGTTCTTAATGTTTGTATTGTATGTTTTTATCTGGCTGTACACCGCCCTGAGTCCCTTGGGAGAAGGTGCGGTATATAAATTTGAAATAAAATAAAATAAAATAAAACATAGGACTGCATAGTTTGAAGCACTGCACCACTGTTTTTCTTCTAACAATGTTAATTAATGAACCCTTCTTCCTAAAGATGCTTCCCTTATGATGTTACAAATAGGCAAAAGGTATGGTTTTATAAACTACACCTATTAGTAGCATACAGATACTGTATATTCTCTCTCTCTCAAATAAGTTACCCAGACCTAATCCACATATTAAAGGATAAGGTCTACAAACACAGAGTTAATTAAATTAGGTCTCCTAGAGGAACTGCATGTTCACAAGAATAAACATACCAACACACACATACCTCAAATGTCACCCTAGAATCAGCATGTGACATCCCGGACAAGCTCCCCTTATAAAAATCTGCTACTGTACCACAAACAAACTGTTTTTTTTTAAATTTGATTTATATGTCGCCCTTCTCCGGAGACTCAGGGCGGCTTACAATGCGTTAAGCAATAGCCTTCATACTTTTATATATTTATACAAAGTCAGCTTATTGCCCCCACAAACTGGGTCCTCATTTAACCTACCGTAGAAAGGATGGAAGGCTGAGTCAACCTTGAGCCTGAGTCAACCTTGAGTCAAACCTGCAGTAATTGCAGGCAGCTGTGTTAATAACAGGGTGCTTTAAACCACTGTACTACCAAGGCTCTTGTTTTGCTTTTAGGAATAAATATTTCTTCTTTCCTCATAGCTGTCTGGATCTCATTTTTATTTATTCTTGTCTAACCCTAGCTTGAGTTGGAACCCTAAATTATTCTTCTGACAATGGGTAAGGGTTATTATTGTTTTGGTTTGAGATACAGGATGTACCTGTACCCTGTACTTTTGAGGTACCTGGATTCAAAAATTGTTCCTCTGTGATGCACTGTTTCACCCAGTTAAAGATTACACGCAGACAGACACGAGAGTTTGAGTAGTGCATTGGTTAAAATATTTACAGAAAGAAAGCCCACTTTTGTGGTGAAGGAGCCCAGCCTTTATTTTGGGGTCTTGCTGGAAGCCAGTAGCTTTCACCACTACTGATATGCTAACTCCACACACAATTTATAATGAGTGCAGATGAATTCAGTAAATCTTTGTTTGATGCTGTAGCATTTGAAATAGTTTAATGCATTTCAACCCAGTGCCACTACTAATATTGTTGAATAATAATGACCGGAAATGGATAGGTTTGTAGTTGATGATCCATTACTTTCTCTCCCAATGTATTTATTTTTGCAGATGAAAATAAATCAACATTAATATTCTGTTAACACTGTTATACTTTGGAGTTTTAAAAAAATGGAATTTGAAAGTCTGCCATATTACAAAATTGAAAGCATAAGGAAGGGTTTTTCAAGTTTTATGAGGCACGAAATCCATCAGTTTATAATGATAATTATTCGCCATAGCTTTTGAACCAAATTCAATCCCAGATTTCTCTGACCCCTTCTTATTAAAGTATTTGTATTTCAGGTCTTGACAGTACAAAAGTTCAAAGATGCACACATCAGTTTTGCCAAGAATACTTATGAATAAACATTGGGAGGGAAGGAGGAAATGCTCCAAGGCAATCAAGGATACAGTACAGTATCATACTGTGAACAACAAGCAAATTGGGTAAGCAAGAAGTGGGTCAGCATGCTAATGCTTTATCTGTGGAAACATTCAAAAGTCTACTCTTACCCCTCAGGAAGGATAAATTTATTCTTTGCATTTTACTTACATTTTCCTTAATTTAGTGTGGACAGATAGTTTTGCTTAATTAACAACAGAAATAGCTTGCATTTACTTTTACGTTTTTAATTCAAGCAGACAGAACTCTGGAGTCCAGAAACTACTTTGGCTAAACTACTCTAAAAGATAAAGTCAGAGAAACATTTCAATTAGAAAGTTTTTATTGTATAGTTGTATGTATAAGCCTGATCAAGATCACGAAATTATTTTATTGTACTCTTATATAATAATTTAGAAAAGAAAAATATACAAAGACTGTATTTGACAAATTAAAATAAAAAAGACAGTCTGAATAAAAATGTTTTCACAGATGACAAAAAGACAACTAAAATGGAGCTTCCCCACTTATATTAGTAAAATTGCCTTACTATGATGCACATTCCCTCAATTTTACTTTCACTTGATCTACTGTTGCCTACAAAAGTTTACACGCTGCTGGGCAAATGGTATGTTTCAGTGAATTCCTAAGCAGAAGCTCACCTACCTTTTAAATGGTACCTTGCTTATTGGTCTTATGTCATATTTCTAGTTATTTTTACATCTACTCTGAAACAGTCTAAAACAGATCAGTTTAACCCTGGACTTCCCTCCTGATCCTCAGAGTTTTCAATCAGTTAATTGTGAGAGATGCAGAGGAGATGGGATGCTGTATACCCAACTTCTCTTCTTAGTCTTTTTTCACTTTAAAAGATGAAACCTTTTATTTTAGGAGATTGAATACAGCTAGTCCTTGACTTATGACCTCAATTGAGTCCAGAATTTATGTTGCTAAGTGAGACATTTGTTAAATGAGTTTTGTTCCATTTCATGACTTTCCTTGCCACATTTGTTAAGTGAATCACTTCAGTTGCTAAATTAGTAACACAGTTGTTAAGTGAATCTGGCTTTCCCATTGACTTTGCTTGTCAGAAGGTTGCAAAAGGGGATCACATGACCCCAGGATACTGCAATCGTCATAAATGTGAATCAGTTGTTAAACATCTGAACGTAAATTACGTGACTATGGAGATACTGCATTGGCCATAAGTGTAAAAAATGGTTATAAGTCATTTTTTCAGTGCCATTGTAACTTCAAATGGTCACTAAACAAACTGTTGTAAGTCGAAGATTACCTGTAACCTCTTCTTCAGCACACAGCCTAGAAAAAGCATCTCTCCCTGATAACATGTAGATTCAAAGACTTGCAAAAGGTTGGCAAGTACACTACTGTTTACAGCAGCAAACACAGGTTAAATTGTAACCTCTTCTTAACTATTATTTTGCCTGTGATTTTGGTCATAATGCATGTCTTTTTTTAATATTTAGAAATTTTCTCGTGAACATTGGATGAAATCTGAAACATTGGCACTGGCCAGCTGGTCTTCGGGTTTCCAGTGCTGGAAGGCCTCTGACGGCAAAACGAGGCCAGGGAGGCACTGCACACATCAATCCAGAGCCCGTTTCTTGTCTGCAGAGGCCTTTACGGAAGGCCTCTGACATTGAAACAGAGGCCGGAGGCGACGCGCACCAGTGGCAGCAAGCGGCCACAGAAGAAGTGGGCCTGCAACGCAGGCAGGTATTGGAGTGTATGAGGCCTGGTAAGTAGGGCAGCTCCACCCTTCCCACTCTAGCTTAATTTTTACCTGTGCGCTTCGCCCCATCCCATGCACCCCGGAGTGGGCAGGGTCTTAACTAGGGCTTATTTTGGGGGTATGGCTTATATTGGGCGCACGTGTAAAAATCAAGCTAGGACTTACTTTCGGGGTTGGTCGTATTTTCAGGGAAACATGGTACTTAGAACCAAAGAAGTTAATTTTCTTATGCCCTGGACTTTTCTGTAAGTCATGCTTAGTCAAGGTTATGTGTTGGACTGGCTTACTGTCAAAAGTAGTCTATGTTATCATTTCTTTTGCTTCTGAATGATATAGTTCTGTTCCAGGGATACTAAAATAAGTAATCAGACAGTCCCAATTTGGAGCACAACAATAATTTACCACAATAATTATCAACTGAGCAAAGCTAGACTGATCCTAAGGGTTGTAACTATATTTTACCAAGTCAGAAGAAATCAGGTAGAATATATAGTCAGTAACTAGACAAGAATCAAAGAATGGGTAGTTTGTACTAGTATTCCAAGTATGGACCAACAAGATGGGGCTGCACATGTTGACTCCAACAATTTTCCAAGAGAACTCTCCACCAAAAGCACAGCTGTCATGAGATCAACACAGAGCTGGGTTTGTTATCCTTGGGGCACCTGGCATTATAGTTGGGTGCATTCAACTGCCGGGGGGGGGGGAGCTCCTGTACAATGGCATTTTTTTTCTTATGGCTTTAAGCTCTGTTTCAGATTCCATAGAAGTGGTGGGAAAAGGGTCTGTTTCTGACGGAATCACTGAATTACAGGGAGTACACATGTTTCTGCTCCGGGATAACTAACCTCTGCCTCTTCTCCCTTCTTTAAGTATGACATAGATGCTATGTAAGTAAAGGCTGACAAGTACATAGCTGATTGGTTTAAGAATGCTTAGTCAGAGATACTATGTCAACACACAGAACAGATAGGTCTACAACCATTCATTGGACATGGCCGGTAGCAGGTTTAAACACTAAGGGGAATTTCTACAGGCATAACTTGTTCTGAACCATAACAGATTAAATTACACAGGCACACACACTTACCTGTATGATTTGAAAACTGGACAGAGTTCACAGTATCTATTTCAAAGCCCAACACCTATAATAAAAGAAAAAAATGTTTATAGAGTTTTCTTTCATTTTTCAAGGGTAATAAGATATTGTTATTCAATATGAGTTGACAGTAGATATGAATAAGCAAAACCAAACAGGAAAATGTTTTGAATAAGAAAAATATGCATAAACACATCGACAGATTAATTAAAAAAGACATCAGGCTTCACAATATAACAAAAATAGTACAAATATTTGCAGAAATAAGTTTAATCCTAAAACAAACAACACTGCAGCTATAACAACAATAAAAATGGAAAATTCAGTAATCGGGATTCAGACAGCTGAAAAAAAATCTTATATGCTGCCTATCTCACCAAAGGTGACTGTAAGGCAGCTTACAATCAATCAGTATACAAAAGCATTATATTTTACAAAAGAAATAGCATTATTTTGTTGAGTTGCAATGTATACACATGTGTATACACTAGAGTTGCGCAAAAATCTAGTTGTAAAGAGCAAAATTAAAGTACATATGGGCACAAACTTAACCTAGCTGCTTCTTTTCCTAGGCTTTGTCGCTGCTCTCCAGAGCTGCTCCATGAACTGATGATCAAAAGACATGTTGTCACCATGAATCTTAAGGAGACATAGTAATGGTGCAGAAATAACTGTGTATAATCTATTTTGAGGCAATTTTCTGGCAAATGAATGACTCTTTTGCTAGGCACACTAATAATGCTCCAGAGGCATTATTGTTCGCTTAGCATGCCAGGCCAGGGTAACCCTTTCTCCACTTTATGTCAGTGATTGCTACTGTATCAAAAATGAAGCCTTTGCACACATTTGCAAAATCTTAGCAGACTCTGAAATCTGTTTCACTGTTTGGGGAAGTCCACAGTTCAGAGGACCAATCTACACAATAGCTGCCTTTTTCGGGGGCTGAGAATTTTTTAAAAACTACATCTTTAGCAGCTTTAAGCCTTGTCTGTCATAACCTCTTTGGACCAATCCTCTTCTGAGTAGGAAGAAGAGCAGGAGCTGACCAAAGGATTTGGAGAATCTGATACAGTAGTACCACGCTTAGCATGACAATCTTTATAGAACAATCTTATAGCATTGGGACTTTGGGTTTCTAAGCCTTGATTGATTCCTGGAATGATTATTTCAGTTTGGTGGTGCCATCATACTCACCTCTCTGAATGTTATCAATATCAAATTCTTTGTTTTACCTTCAACTGGGAACTGATCTGTTTGAAACTAAGGACAGGATTGGTATAAACTGTATCACAACCATATACCCTGCTCGTAATAGCTCTCATCAATGTAACTATATGAATATATATGAATATATTCATATATATATATGAACTATATGAATATGGTTCACAAGATAGCAAAAATAGTCAAGTGAATGTGATTAGCTCCATCAAGATGCAGAATCTATGATTACAAAACCTGGGCAATAGTATTTTTCCATTTTGAGATACTATCCTGTTCCTTAATGTTTATAGAAAGCTGCTAAAACTGTTAAGCCCTGTTGTTCTTTATTATCTAAAAAGCAGTACACTCTCTAAGAAATAGAGGGTACATTATGTCCAAAAAGCATTTCCATAATAGCAAATTCAATGTTCATTTTAAGGAAGAAAAATGTATTTGCATAATATATTGTTTTAATTAATCATTAGAAACTAGTAGGCATAATTGTAACTTTTAAGAGCTATGATAACAATATTTATCAGTTGTACATCAATAGGTTTAAACTGCTTCATGTTAGTGTTTAATGCAAGCTAAAAGAATTTAGCTAAATAGAAAGTCAAGCAGAAGCTCCAATTTTATATAAGCTGTAGTTCAGACTCCTATCCATTCACAATTCTATAAAAAAATGAAAAATATATGCATTTGGGTCAGAGTTATTTACAATTCTGATGAAGTTATCTTGGCCAGTTTTGTTGGGCTTAGAAGATCTGCAGGGAAGGTCCTGGTTAATATTTGGATGTGAAGCCATCAAAAAATTCCGGGTGTGTAAGGTAGACTGAGATATAATATATAGAGAATACAAACATTTATCTAGATTTCATTTTCCCTTGGAACCCTGCTATGCCATTATTACTAGCTGGCCAGAAAAATGGGAGCAAAGGGAAGAACAAGATAAAGAGAGCTGAAGAATTCAGATGAAACCTTCAACTGGCTCCATTTACACAAGATGAACAAAAACAAACTACAAGAAATACCTTTTACTCATTTTTTTCTTCCCTTGAGAAAGGAACTGATTTTTCTAAACCATAAGGAAAGATAAGATAGAACAAAGTGTGAAAAAGGTTTTGTGAGAAGCAGAAGATAGCATGCCCTTGTATATAGTATAAACCAGTGCTTTTCAACCTCAGCAAACTGGCTTAGGTTTCTTATTCCCAGAAAATCTTACTTTTGCTTTATATTGTTCTATCTCATTTTCCAAGTCTATTTTATTCTTTAATCTATTTATTTACATTTCAGAGCTCTGGACTCAATATTCTTATACACAGTCAATCTATTTTCCTTTTTACCCCATCTCAGCTGCTACTTTTTGAGCCCATCTTCCCCCCAATCCTTCCCACTACTCTGCCCCACAGTTCCTTGCGTGGTGGCATGGATTCTGGCCCTTGTGAAGAAAAAGATTGCCAATCCCTATTGCAGATGCTAAGGGAGAGGGTGAACTCCTGGATGCTCCTATATTGCAAGGGCTTAGGCAAGACCTCTGTCCTCCCTCAACAGTGACTGTATCCAGCCCTGGAGGAGGAAGAACATTGTGTCCCCCACTTCTAAATCTTAGTGGTACTAAAAGTTGTTGAGCAACTCCAGGATAGATGCACCCTGTACCCTAGTCCTACCAGAGATCATCCACAAGCATGATCAATGTCATGTTAGTACTATATTCTGGTCTGAAACCCAAATGAAAAATGCCCAGATAATCAGCTTTCCCCAGGGGCTTCTGAAGCTGAAACTCAACCATTTTATCAACAACTTTCACAAAAAAGGGAAATGTGCAGACAAGATTAAAATTGTCCAGTATCACTGTATCCAGAGATGCCTTCTTGAAGAGGGGGAAGACCAATTCTTGTAGCATTGCTCTTCAGATCTCTTCTGCCATTTCATTTCCTGCGTTCCTCTAACAAATAAAAGAAACTCCAGGATCCATAAAACTAAGGACTTACTTAAACTGTGCATCAGATTCTCAGAATTAACCACAAGTTATAACCCCCAGTGGTTTATAAGACAGTTAAAAATAAGTAAACATGGAAAAAATTAGTCAAAGTAAAAGCAACAGTTGGTAAAAAAAAATTTGCAACCTCATCAACACATGCTGTGGAGAGAAAACATGGAAATTTTGATTAAGAATACTGAGAGAGATTTAGAGACTTCTCTTTTTAGAAAATCTTACCCTCATGAAAACAAATCAAACACTTACATGCATGTTAAATCAAATTCATCTCAGATAAAACTACTTTAAAAGTCCAAATAATTCCTCAAAAAATCAGAATGTAATAACTATCCCAGGCTGGTGGTATAAACTGATATCTTTTATTCTCTCTTATTTAATACAGCACATCAAACTGATATAATTATGAGGTTTTGCAGTATTTGAAAGAATACAGAAAGTTACCAAAGTAAGATTTAGAGATATATTGCCTGGTAATAATGCAGTACGGTGGATAATCAATTATACTAGGAGCACATATTGAGGCAGCTAATAATAGAAACAATACCATCTCATGTACAGGTTGTTCTGTCCCCGTCCCCACACACACACAAACAGCCAGCCAGGGGTTAAAGAAGTACTCGGCACACACAAGGTTCGTTATCAGGAACTTGGCAGCAATACGATAACCGTCGGCCAAGTGCTTTACTACAAGAAGAGGGAGTGTTCCTCCACCAGATAACACCAACGAATACACACAGTTTTCAAAACAGTCCAGCTCAAACATGAAACCTTCAGCAGATTAGGCGTTGTACAAAGTGACTAGCCAGAAGTTAGCTTTGTCTGTCACAGAGTCTAAATGGCCACCACACTCTCTTATATAGCCTGTGGGGTGTGGTCCAGTGACTCAGCTTAATCCCTGGCACGCCTCCTCATCTGCTACAAACGTTTATCTCGCCTTCGTTGGCGTGGATCCAGGAACGACTTATCACCCTCATCGCTGTCATCGGAGACACCTGGCTCCTGGTCAATCTCCTCTCCCTCGGCAGACACCTGAGGCATTGCCAGAGAGGAGGGGCCTGGAGAGGGAGGCCTGGCCGGCTCCTCTCCTTCATGTTCGGAGCCTTCTTCCTCCGATAAAATGGGCTAGGGGTCGGAGCCACAACACAGGTAGTCCTCAACTTATGACCACAATTGGGTCCAAAATTTCTCTCCCTAAATAAGTACATTTGTTAAATGAATTTTGTCCCATTTTATGACCTTTCTTGCCACATTTGTTAAGTGAATCACTGTAGTTGTTAAGTTAGTAACACAGTTATTAAGTGATTGTGGCTTCCCACTTAACTTTGCTTGTCAGAAGGTCGCAAAAGGGTCACATGACCCCAAAACACTGCAACCATCATAAGTATGAGTCAGTTGCCAAGCGTCTGAATTTTGATCACATGTCCATAGGGATGCTGCAATGGTCATAAGTCACTTTTTTCAATACCTTTGTAACTTTGAACAGTCGCTAAACAAATGGTTTTAAGTTGAGGACTACTTATATTCTGTTATGACCTTGAAGGATAAAGCAGTAAAACAAATTTAAATCTCATCAGCGAGTTTAACTTTATATATCATTTGTTTACAGACCAGAAATGTGAAAGTATTTTTAGTAGTTCAATACTGGGGGGAAGGGTAGTGTTTGTACTACAGTATCTTACATGGCTGCTTATAGAAAAGTTGGACTGTACCGTCAGGAGCAAAGGTTATGGAATAATGTTTGCAGTATACTAAATCCTGGGGGTATGTTCCCACTCTCACATTTTGAATTGAGAACAGTTCTCAACACAACAGATGTTTCTCCTAGGGAAACCAGAAATGTGTTA